CGCGGGCTGCGCGTGTCCGGCAGGGCGGATCTCCCCCTCCGCCCCGTGCCGCAGCCGGCCCGGGCGGGAGCTGCGCGGGTTTCGGTTTCCCCCATTGCTCTGCACCTTCCCTCGCGCTGCTGGAGTGTCCTTCCGAGCCCGGCCCGTGCGGGCAAGACGGGCAGGGAGCTGCTTCTGGCATCCTCTGGCAGCTGCCGCCCGGTGTCCAGAGGCTCTTCCAGCTCCCAGCCGTTGCTCAGGAGGACGAGAGCTGCTCCTGGAGCGACCCGGGGTTCAGGCTGCAGCTGAACTCCACAGCCGCAGGGCGCAGCGCTTGGCTTGCGCCGAGCCCTGTGTTTTGGGAGTAGCTCTGAACTGTTGCTTTTTTCCTTCTACAGGTTGACTCCTTCAGGGAGCGGATCACGAGCGAGGTGAGTTTCCCTCTGCCACTGCCCAGAACTGATAGGACAGGGAAGAGGCCCTTCGGCCGTATCTTTCTGACAGACTTGATTGCGATTTGGGCCTCTCCGGGAAGCTTAGCGGCGCTCAGAGCTTCGGTCACCGGCTGGAGTGAGGTTACCTAGCCTTGTGGCTATCCTGGCATCCTCTCACCTTGGCCTAGCGTGACGGTTGGCAGCAGGCAGAACTTGTGTTCTCTCCTGTTTGCTGCCTTTGGGCGGTTGATTTCCTGGTGTTCTTGCCCGCTAGCGGGAACCTCGCGGCGTTGTTTCACATCATCGTCTGTTCTTTCTCTCTCAGGCTGAAGACCTGGTGGCAAACTTTTTCCCAAAGAAGCTGTTAGAACTCGATGGGTTCCTTAAGGTAGGGAATATGTTGTGCTCTGTATCCTTCCTCATTTTCAAGCTACGTGTTGAAAATGACGAGGCAGGTCTCGCCCTGTGTATTTTCTTGTGTATTTCACCTTCTTACAAAGACATGAAGCAGCGGCTCGGTTGCTTGCGTGCATTTGAGTGCTGTTAGCTCTAGTGGGGATGCTTCCTTTTTCAGTTTTCTTTGTGTGATCACCACATTTATCTTTCTTACATGTTCGGCAACTTTGGGCTGTCCTTCGCAATGCTGTGGTCTCACAGGGACTCCAGCGTTGCAGACAGTTGATAGCTTTGATCACAGTCTGGAGCTGGCACGCTGTTCTTGGGTGGAGGGAGGTCTCGTCACAGGCCTATTGTTAGACTTCTTTTTCATTCATCTTTATTTTATGGTTGGATAAGAGGGAGGTCTGAATCTTTTGTCTTTTCATTGTGTTTGGTGTGACAGAATTTGTTCGTTCATAATTAAGCAACAAATCTGCTTTATTTTCCAGGAGCCTATCCTGAATATCCATGATCTCACTCAAATCCATTCGGACATGAACCTCCCAGTGCCTGACCCAATTCTTCTCACGAACAGCCATGACGGACTGGATGGGGTAAGGTTACTCTCTTGGCTGTGATCCCCTACTTCTGTTAATTAAAACTGCATGGCTTGCTCTGTGCTGGAGTAGGATATTCTTATTTGATAACAGGCTATGGCTCTCCCAAAGGCTTTAGGAAGTTGTCTCTCGAGCCTGGGAAGTCTGCTGGAGGTAACGCTGTGCTCTGCAGTCCTCCTTTGTTTTTAAAGAAGAATGCTTAGAAACCAGGAGCGTAGCAGAGGCTCTAAAGTTTTCCTTGTTTCCTTTGCAACACTGTTATAGCTTACGACTAGTTTGTGAGTAAAACATTTTGTATATTTTAGCCAAATATGAAAAAGAGGAAGCTGGAAGACCGCGAAGAGACCTTTCAGGGTAAGAATCCCCAAGTCTCTTGTGTTGCTGCCTGCCCCCTGAACCAGTGCACCATGCCTTAGGGGTATGAAGTCACGTGAACCCCGCTTGCCCTGTCCTGACAGCAGCTGCTGCTCATGCAGGCCTGTCCCCGCAACCTCTCAGAGCCTGACCTACGGACGTTCTGTTGTGGAGGAGTCAGGTTCCAGCTCTTAGAAGCATAATTAGGACTTGTCGGATAGGCATACGTAGTACTTGCTTGAGCTCGGCCTGCTGACAGAGGCAGCTGGTCTCCCTGTGGCTCTGTGCTGAAAGCTCTCCTTGTCTGGAGGAAGATAGCAGGCTTTGGGTTAAACTGAGGCAGAAACAGCTCGTACACATGCATCAGGAAAATCCTTTACGCCCAGCCTCAGCAGCCTAGAGCTCTTCAGCTCTCGTCTTCGCTCTGTGTTTTCTCTTTTCCTTCCTTTGTGGTAATCGCTGTTATCCCATGTCAAATTACCCTTTCCCCACAGGTTAGCTATAGCCTGGCTCAGTGTCCACTGCTAGCCTTTGCGGGAGATAAGACGCTCGGGTGGACCTTCGGTCTGATCCCCTGGCGCAGCTGTTCCTACGTGTTGCTGATGCAGGGTGTTTTTCTCCTCTGCCACTAGGTACCAAAGTGTTCGTGATGCCCAATGGGATGCTGAAGAGCAACCAGCAGCTGGTGGACATCATTGAGAAAGTGAAACCAGAAATCAGGCTGCTTATTGAGAAGTGTAATACGGTGGGTATGAGCACTGGAGCGAGTGGAGACAGTAGGATGCTTTTGCTCCTGGAGAGGCAAAGCTGCTCTGAGTGGAAGGGGCAGGCCCCTCTGTATTCTGTAGATGAGGAAAGGCAGGATTCATATTACAGTGTCTAAAAGTGGCTGGGGGGGGGGGGTAGGGGAATAATGTTTTTCTGAGCCCTTGGCGAGCTCTGTAGTTCATCTCTTGGAGGAGGATGATGTCTGTTACGCAGGCTCCTTCCTTGAGGCTTTTCTTCACCCTCCTTTTGCACAGTCACAGACGCCTGCTGAGAGCTTCTGTGGCACAGTCTGGAGAGCTTCCCATGGGAAACTGTGCTCGTGCTGGCTTGTGTGGTGTCCCAGCCATGTGGGAAATGATCTCCTCAGAAGTGTTGCATGAGCGTGAAGGACCTGCAGTTTATCACAAACTGCATGGCAAAGGCAGGGTCCTGGGGGGGCTTTTGGTAAAACTTTTGAGAGAGTTCTCTGCGGAGATGTTGGCGTTGATCAGTATTGTGATCTTTCCACTGCAGGTGAAAATGTGGGTGCAGCTTCTCATCCCCAGGATAGAAGATGGAAACAACTTTGGTGTTTCTATTCAGGTGAGGCACCACTGGCTCTATGCCCTGCCGCAGGAGAGAGCTGTGCTCCAGGGACATGGATCTCTTGGGTTCCTCTGAATCTTTCATTTGATGGTATCCAGTAGCTGCAGTCATGGGGTTGGTTTAGGTTTTAAAACCCAAACCTGAGGTTGACATGGCACTGCTGAGACACGTTGCTTTCAGAGCCCTGAAGGCCAGCTGCAGTCTCATGAAGCTAATGGCTTCCTTGTCTTCCCTGCAGGAGGAAACAGTTGCTGAGCTTCGAACTGTGGAGAGTGAGGCAGCGTCCTACCTGGACCAGATTTCTAGGTAGGCCTGCAAGAACAGGCCTCTTTTTTTTGGGGGGATCCTCTTGGGAAAAGTAAAGTGCTTGGGGAAGGTCCCCCAGCTTTTCTAGGGCAGCTTGGGCCTGAAAAAAATCTTGGTGCTATTTATCTGACCTTTAGTCTCTCCCTTTTCCTGCCAGATATTATATCACAAGAGCAAAGTTGGTTTCCAAAATAGCTAAGTACCCTCATGTGGTAAGTAAACGGGGAAGTGGAGATTTACGTGTTACATGCTGCTGCTTTTTGGGACTCTTTGGGCCACTTCATCACTGTCCTTTTTGAGCTGAGGGTCCTGGGGGAGAAGGGGCAATTGTACAGGGATGCAGGACATCTGCATTAGAGGAGAGCAAGCTGAAGGGGGGATTCCTTTGTAAAAGGTAGGACCTTGGTGTATGGGAGACACAGCTGAGCTCAGGCCGCTCAGCCATGTGTCTGCTCTCTGCAGGAGGACTACCGCCGCACAGTGACAGAGATCGATGAGAAGGAGTACATTAGTCTGCGCCTGATCATTTCAGAGCTGAGGAATCAATATGTAAGTGAAAAACCGGAGTTTGCACTGGCTCCCTGCACAGCAGTGGAGAGAGCCCTTTTGACCCTGCTGCTGCTCTCCCCTTTCCCTATGAGTACACCTAGTCCTGGCAAGAAGCCTGTCTCCTCCCCGTTCTGCTTTGGCTCTGACGAGAGAAGCAGACTGCTGCCTCTCCACCACCTAGAGATGCAGGTGTTTCCAACTGAGCGTTCACAGGAGTCTAGCACAAAATATTCCTTCCACTTCTGTGGTAACCTGTGATCCTAAATTCTTCATGCAGTACAAGCCACTCCTGGGGTTTGTAAAGAAATCTTCTCCTTTTGGTGTTACATGCAGTGGCTTCTGTAAAGTCTGGCTGAAAGAAGCCCTTAACTAGGTGTGTGATTGCACACCGGGGTTGAGGGTGGTGCCAAGGTGAGCTGTGCTGCTGTTTTAACCACTGCTCGTTGTGAAAGCTGAACACTGGATGACTTCATCCTTGTCTGAGTCCTGTTCTCCCTTTTTGCAGGTCACTTTGCATGACATGATCCTTAAAAACATTGAGAAGATCAAGAGGCCTCGGAGCAGCAATGCTGAGACCCTCTATTAAGTGTCAACGTTTGAACTTGAGAACTGTTCAGTCAACTAAAGACCGTCATTGCCTTGGTTTGTTACGTGACTATCGAGATGGGAAACTGGCTGGAAATAGTATCGCATTCTTAGTTAAACTCTAAAGAAATTCTCGCCTAGTTTTGTGATTGGTTTTGTTCAGGTCTCAGGAGCTCTCCCTCCCTCTAGTAACTGGTAATGAGAAGGCCGTGCTGCTTTGGGTGCCCTAGAGGCTACTGCAGAGTGAGAGCACCAGCCAGGCAGGATCCTTTCTTCCTGCCTGGGTAGGAACGACACTAGAGACCAAGCCCTCGTCCTGTCCCATCTCTTGGCTGGAGGCTTCACTGGGGTCTCTGGGAATGGGGCAGACAGTCTTCAGCACGAGAGCAAGCCCGGGTGGTGGTGCAGTGGTGGAGAAGCTCACTCTCTCACTGCTGGCTGTAGCCGGGCCCCTCTGCCGCCAGTGCTCTGCACTGACCAATTGCAAAGACAGGGGAACCTGCCCCTTCTGGGCTGGTGGCAGCAGCCACGCTCCAGTGCCGCTGAGCGGTCTGCACTCCTTTTCTGGCTGTCTTCTGACTCAGCAGAGCCTGCCCCATCTGTCTGCCTCGTCAGTTCTGGCTAGATCAGTGCAGAGCACAAGGTGGTGCTTGAAACTAGGGCTGGTTGCTCTCCTGGCTGGTTGTGAGCTCAGGTGGCTTCTGCTCCTGTTTGCGATTTGACTAGAGCCACGTTCTTGGCTAAAACCAACGTTACTTCACATATGTCCTAGCGCCCCTTCAGCATGAGATGCTTTTGCCCAGGCTGAGAGAAGGGAGGGGCCAGAGATCCGATACTAAAGTCCTGATAGTCTCCGCACGTGGTCAGACTGAGACCTGCTGTCTCCTGGCAGTGCTCCCCACTGCCTGGGCAGAGCAGGCCAGCTGCGACAGTTGGTGCTTGGGGGTGAGGATGGCCGATACCCACCCAGTACCATTGCAGACCTTGTAGTTCTTTCCCCTGCAAAGGGCACGCTCGTGTGCCTGGTGACTCCTCTTAAGCCACCGGAACGTTTCATGGTCCATTACAAACCCCTTTGGAAATGACTGGTTGTGTTGCGTCAGTTTTTGTGTGTGGCAAGTGGGCCCATAACGCTGCAGGCTCCAAAATTCTCTTATTTATAGTATTTCTACTTAAGTCCCTTATTCAGGGAACTTTAAATCATTTGTTGCAGGAACCTTGCTGTTTCCCAGGTCTTGCTGTTACACCCGTATATTCTTATTGTGCAGTAGCCTTAATAGTTGTGTTAACCTCATTGTAACAACAGTGACAAATGGAATGAACTTTCTCCCCTTCCTTTTTTTACTTTGTTTTTGTTTCTTCTGCTTCCACATCTAAGAGCCATGTTGTCTCTTGCTGGTTTCCCAGGGATTTGCCCAGAGTGTGGAGGGCCACTGGCCCTTGCTATAGACTCTTCTGTTGTTGTTTGTAGTAAGTCAACTCTTAGTCTTCCCGCTAATAAATATTCAGTAACAAACCAACTGCGTTCTAGCTGCTGTCTGGGAGCAGCACTTCCCCTTGTGTTTCTTTGTATTGATTCCTTTTAATTTGTTCGGCTCTCTTTGCCAGATGAAACTATGTAAACTTTTACCATGTCAAGAAATTAAAATAAGGTACTTGGAATTCTTTTAAGGTAGCCCCTTGTGTGTGATACTGAGCTCTTAGGCTGTGCAGTGTTAACGTCTGTTCTGGTCCTGCCTTTCTCACATCCAGTTGATCCTTCCCTGCATTCTCCTCATTCCTCTTTTTGACTGTGTTGTAAACTGCTATGCACTGCTTTGTAGGTTGTTTCTATTCCTTTAGCATGCCTTACATTAGGCCGACGGTCTCGGGTTTAACGTGATCTGTCCCATCTCAACCCCGTGTGCGGGACTTGGGCCATCTCAGTTAAAGCAGACGCAAGAGATTTGCGTGGTGTTTCTCTAAGCAGCCTGCTCCGTGGCTGCTCCTGCACCTCTGCCAAGCAGGTGTCTGCAGCGCTGTCCTGGGGCAGGCGCCTGGATGCCATGCCTGGTGCGTGTGTTCGGTGCATGGTCCGTTACTGTCTTGGCTGCTCCATGCACGTGGCACCGAAGGAAACGCAGGCCACCCTGCAATCCCCCAGCCAAAGCGTCTTCTGCTCTCCCCAGGGAATCGTGCTTGTTCTTGTTGCGCTTCCTCCCACGTCTGCTGCACCACAGCCCGGGGTGCAGAGACCTCTCCAGTGGCACCCTGTTCCCTGAGCGTCCTGTCCCCAGCCACTGGGGTGCAGGCCCCGCTGTGAGCCTGCCCTCGGGACAGGCAGAGTTTGGCGCCTGGCTGGGGCTTGGCCGCCCTTCCCGGCCGGGGTGCCGCTAGGTGGGGCCCGTGCCCAGCCCCAGGAGCGGCCGCCGCAGATCGGGGCTCCTGCCTGGCACGTCCAGCCTCGAAATTTTCAGCTGCTGAGAAGCAGGGGCAGCTGCTTGCGGACAGACGCTTCCTGCCTCCCGCAGGGCCGCCTGCCCCACGGCGCGTCCTGCGGTGTGGGAAAGTCCTGCTGGTGCCTGAGCTGCTCCGGGGAAGGTGGGAGTTGAGCTGGAAACAGGTCGCTGGGGGCCGAGGTCAAAGGAAGGACTGCTGCTGGCAGGACCCGATGTGGTGCAGCACGAGGGGTTCCTCCTCACCACAGCCGGAAGAAACTGAACTCCCAGGAGGCCTGTGCCAGCAGTCCTGTGGAAGGACGGAGCATCCAGGATGGTTGTCTTGGCGGGTGTTGGCAGGGAGCGTGGTTCATCGGCAGGAGCAGGGGAGGGTTTGTTGTCCGTGATCTTCACCCCTCAGTCTCAGTGCAGTGGTTTCTGCTTTGCTCTCCGGGAGGAGTGGCAGCGTGCCGTCAGGGCTCTAATTCGCAGGTTCTTGAGACATCCCAGCTTATATGCAGTGACCGTTAAAACTTTGAGAGGAGAATAAAGGCGCAGCAGTTGTGTGCAGACGCAAACGCTGTCAGAAACATAACCGGCATGGGTAAGGGGCAAGCAATTTCCACCCTTCTGTTTTACGCAAGCTGACCCTATGAGATGAGAGAATGGGAGTGGGAGTTTTCCAAAGTCTGAGGTCTGGCTTGGGATATGCTTAAGACTTGCCTGTGTCAGGAGAGTTGGCAAGGTGTTTTCTGTACCGTATTCTTCACCCAGCTGTCTGGCAGTCACTGACTCTGAGTTTCCCTGAGCCAAAAGCTGTCTGTCTCTGGTTTTGGTTTCCATAAATTTCAGAGACTATTTTTTGCCACCTCTACCTTTCTGTGCGTGTGAAAACCAGCAAACTCCTCTCCCTTCCTTTGTTTGGGAGACGTGGACAATTTAGCAAATATAAGATGTACTGATGGGCAGTACCTAAAAGCAACCGTGTAGCCAAAATAACCATCGGTAGGATGTGAATTCTCCATATTAGATGAGGGACAGAGTGATGGGCTAATCGGACTGGGGAGCTGAGTTGTGGGAAGAGGTATGTGCACCAAACAGGACATAAACAAGTTATGCTGCTGTTAGTGAGACATGTAATTTTTAAAATTCTAGGTTAGCTTTAAGCTGCTTCAGGCTTCTTTTGGAGAAGGCACGCAAGCAATTCAGTGGTATGTGTGGCCCTTAAAGATCCCTGCTCGCTTTTCATCAGTTAGGTATTCAGACAGGTTTCCTGGCTCTGGAGGCTCAGTTAATTACTCTGCTTCCTGAAATTTCTACTGCAAGATGGAGATGGATTTAGGGCTGTTCTGTTTATTCTGAAAGAGAGCTCCCAGAAAGTGCAGGCTGATTCTTGTGTTGCTTGTAATAGGCTTTAAAAGTTCTCAGCTTGAAAAGTACAGCAGAAATGGACAGTATTAAATAACGTGGTATTAGACGTGGCATCCGTGGCACATATCCTGTAGTGGGGCAGAGGCAGCACAGAAAGCTTTGTTTGTGTCATCTGTATCCTGCAGACCTGGGATGCGTGCTGTGGGTTGGTTTGTTGTGGGGATGTCATTACAGGTTAGGGTTTCTCTTTTTTTCCAAACACCCAACATGCACAGAACTAAGAGTGTTACCACACTTTATTTTCAGACATCTCCCAGACAAGCTGCAGGGTTGAGTTGTGATTAGTGGGGCAGTAAGGCCTGTGGAGTTTGTCCAGTTCTCTTAAACTACTGCTGTGCTGCTTAGAAAATGACCATCTGTAATTGCAGCCTATGCCTTGACTTTTAGGGACTTGGGATGCAAAACCAAGAGGTGAAGTCAAAACTGAATGATCTGCTCTTTTTGTACTTCTTTAAGGAAATGTCAACGTGAGCATTGTGCATGCAGCCTCAGAGGTTCGTGCAGCAGTCTTGGCTCAGCTGTGTAGGTGCGTGTTGCAGCAGAAGGCTTGTTGAATTCCTAGGAGGCAGGAGGTATGTCCTGGCTCTGCTCTAAACCTTAACTGGGGCAACAGCGCTTCCTCTCTGCACTCTGAGTGAAAGAATACCATGTTCTAGGCTTACACCAAAAGGGAATTTTTCTTTCAAGCCTAACCCCAAGTAATCCTCGAAGCCTTGTTGACTTCATGGATTGAAAGACTGACTTGGAAGTCAGCACTTCTTTGCTTAATTTGGGGCTAGTCAGAGGCATCTGATTCTGCCACTGGAGGCCAGTTGAAAGTTGATGAGAGCAGGGTACTTGTGAAACCTGTAGCTGTTGCATCCCGTGTAGCCAAGGCTCTCTTCTCATCTGTCCTCTCTCTCCCATTGCTTGTGTCCGTGCCACAGAGTGAGCCCCTCTTCTGGCACAGCGGCCATGTGAATTGACTGCTGTGGCTCTGCAGGCTTTGCTGGTGTGATGGCCAGTGAGGCAGAGATGACGTGTGCTGGCACGGAGTGGACGTGCGTGCCTCTGACCTGCACAGCTGCAGCCTGGGCTAAAGAAGGCTGAGGCTGCCAGTGGTGGTGAGGATAATGGAGTGTGTCCTATGGCAACGTGGCCTTCTGCCTACCAGTGTGGTGTCTGGTAAGCACGGCCGGAGGACCGTGGAGGGGTTGAGTCCAGGGCGAGATCCGCTGCAGAGGAAGAACTGGAGGCCGTGCTGAGGCTGGGGGGGAGCTGTCTCCCACCAGGAAACTCTGACGGGAGGAGGAAGAGAAGGCCAGGGTGAGGTGAGGTGAGGCTGGCAGCAGGAGTGGAAATGTTGGGTTGAATCTCCGGCCCTGGTTCTCTTGGATGCCTTGTGCTTCTCAGCACCAGCTCAGGGACAGGCAGGGATTGTAGCTGAAGCGGTGCGTCTTGTCTAGCCCAAGCGTCTGCTGCGTGGCAGGATGGAGTACCGAGTCGCGTTGTCTGGCTGCCTCATTCTGCCAAGGCCTTTCAACAGTGCTGTGAGACCAGCAGGCACCCCTTCGGTGGGGATGGCAGAGGGCAGTTGTCACAACCTTTGGTAGAAATCCTGGAGGTGGCTGCTCAGCCTGGGCGACAGTAGCCTGGCAGCACAGCGGTAGCGGGCACTGCCATCAGCTGCCTGCTTGGATGCCGCAGGTTGGGGGTTGCTTTGTCCTTGAGGGAACTTCTCAGAAGCTGCACCTCAGTTTATCTTTGAACTGGAGGCAGAGACAAAAGCTGCGTGATCTTGTTTCAGTGGAATGCTGGGGGATTAATTAGTTCGTAACTGTTCAAAGGTGCAAACTAAGAGCTAGTTGTTCAGCGCATTGGGGCCTGAATCTCATCCTGAACTACATCTCTCCATGCCTGCCAAAGTTTTTCTACTACTACACAGATGGGTGTGTTTTCAGCAAAGGCTTCCACATGGAAGATTTAAAGAAATAAAATAAAAAGTAATTCCAAGCTTGGAATCATGCTGCCAGGGAGAATGTTTACAAGGAAGCAGCCTGGTAAACAAGGAAATTCGGTGAGTTGCAAAGAGGTGAAATTCTACAGTGTGGCAACAATTCCCAGCTTGTCAGAGCCTCACAGTGGTCCCAGCCACCTCAGGCTGACTACAGGATCTTCGTTTTTACAGGCAGCCTCAGGAAGCTAGGTTGGACTGAAAAAGTAACAGAATTATGTGAAGCTTGTCTGAGTCACTGACCCTGCATCTCCACTAGTTCTTTCAGGGCACTGCTCGTGGAGGAGGACAGAGAAGGCTGCAGCTGAGAGACGAGATCTGCCCTTTCTGGTCACCACGAATTTCAGATCTCCTCCCCTAGCCTCTCCCAGTCTTTTGTACTTTCCGTGCTAATCCATCCAGTGCAGTGTAAACTGACAGAGGCAGCAGCTAGAAACCCTGCTCCGAAAGCTGCTGTGAATGCCTCAGGACCAGCAGCAGCATGCACATGAAAACTGTGCTGCTCCTCCTCATCCTGGCTTTAGCCACGATATTTGCTTTAGTCTGTGTGTTGCTGACCAGAGGAAGGGCCCCCAGCACCTGCCAGCACCAGCCCCGGGAGCAGGAGGACGCCGATGACGGCCAGAGCCTGGTCTTTGCCGATCTGACACCCGAAGAGATGGTGCAAGTGGTGCGGTACCTGCAGGGAAACCTTGGGGTGCAGCTGGTCGATGCCTCGCGTGCAAAACCCTCCGACAACTGCATCGCCTCCGTCGACGTGCAGGTCCCCGCCAAGGCAGAGGTGCTGCGGTTCCTGGATGGTGGTGGGGCTCGCCCCCCCCGGGAGGCGCTGGCTGTGCTGTACTTTGGGAACCAGCCAGACCCCAACGTCACCGAGTACGTGGTGGGTCCGCTGCCGACGCCAGCGTATCACCGGGACGTCACAGTGCAGAAGTACGGGGGGAAGGTGCCGTACCACCGCAGACCAACACTGGCTGTTGAATACAAACAGATGGCAGGGTTTTTAAAAAGCCAAGTGTTCCCCACAGCTCCATCTTTCATGCGTCAAGTAATGGAGTATGATGGAGCCAGTCTAGCAGCCCTGACAGCCGCCCCCCGTGGATTCCAGTCTGGAGATCGGATCACCTGGTTCGTTTTGTTTCAGAACGTGAGTGGGTTCTTTGTGCACCCGGTGGGGCTGGAGGTGCTGGTGGACCACAGCAGCCTGGACATCTCCCGGTGGGCGGTGAACAGGGTCTTCTACAACGGGCAGTACTACAGGGACATGGTTCAGCTGGAGAGTGCCTACGTGCAGGGTCGCATCAGCGTGGAGAAGGTGAGGAAAGCGCCGCGGGATGGGGACTTCTCGTCCATGAAGCCCCGAGCGCCTTCGGCTGCGCTGTTCCCTTTGCAGTACGAGCCCCAGGGTCCCCGTTACAGCATCAGGAACAACCACGTCCTCTTCCAGGCCTGGAGCTTTGCCTTTGGGATGAGCGTGAACACCGGCCTGCGCCTGTTTGACATCCGACACAAGGGGGAGAGGGTTGCCTATGAAATCGGCATCCAAGAGGCGTTGTCAGTGTACGGCTCCAACTGCCCTGGAGGGATGTCAACGAGGTACATGGATGGGAGCTTTGGCATTGGGCGCTACACCTCCCCCTTGGTGCGAGGGGTCGACTGCCCATATTCGGCCACCTACGTCGACACACACTCTCTGTTTGAGACCCTAAGCCCCAGTAAGAGAAAGGCTTCCCTCTGCATTTTTGAGCAGAACCTGGGCTCCCCTCTGAGGCGCCACTACTCCAACTTGCAGTCGCTCTACTATGGGGGGCAGGTCAACTCTGCTCTGGTGGTTCGGTCCATTGCGACCGTGGGCAACTACGACTACGTGTGGGACTTCATCTTCTACCAGAACGGGGCCATCGAAGGCAAGGTCCAGGCCACGGGGTACGCGAGCTCATCCTTTCTCCACGGGGATGGTCTGAGATACGGCAACAGGGTTTGGGAGCACACGCTGGGTACGATAGGCACCCATTCCATCAACTATAAAGTGGACTTGGATGTGGGAGGTAGGTCTGGGTCTTCCTATAATGTCTGTCATTATACTGGGTAAACCCCAGAGCTTTGGGGGGATTGCCTCCTCGTCTGTAGAATCCCTAATAACTGACCTTGGAACTCTGCTTTTTCACTCTCCTAACCTCTTCTTTCATTCCACAATTATTTTTCTATGTATAAAATAGTCTGTCAAGGTCATGGAGTTGAAGGCAGTCTGAATGGTCTGGGAGCTCTGTGTTGAGTCCAGGGAAAGCATGAAAGGTAGCAGCTGAAAAATGTTTGTGTTTCCTTGAGGCCTCATGTCTGGCACAGTGAGTTTTGCCACAGGCACGGCCAGGCAGACAGGGAGACGCAGCCCTGTCTGCAGGGCTGAAGGTGTGAGCCTGTTCTTCCTGCGCCTGACGCTGGCCCTGGCACTCCTTGTAACTTGGGGAAAGGCCTTTTTGTATCTCGACTGCCCAGCGTAAAGCAGGGCAGCTGGACTGGTGCTCCGCAGGGCTGAGCTTATGCAGCTCTATCTCCGCTTCTCTTTTGAGGAAACGCTTGTAAGTTGGATTCTGAGTCTCGGGCTGCAAAGCCGCTGTAGTGAGCCAGTGAATTCCCCTGCTCCTGCACAGAGTCACGGTTTTTGGCGGCGGATCCCTGTGGAGGGTTATTTGAGTCCAGGAGCAGCTCCTTCTGCACCGTCTGGTGGGCTGAGCAGTGAAGTGCTGGCATCCGCCCTGGAAGGCGCAAGGATGCTCGGCCTGAAAGGACAGCTTTGCTTCCCCTTAAAGGCCATTCCAGTTACTGCAGTCTGGGAAGGTGCAAGGGCAGTGGTGGTGCTGGGGGCACAGATTGGCAGCATTAGGTGTCTGTTATTGAAACCTGCTCTTGTAAAAGGTAGGGGGGGAAAAAATGTTTTACATCTGTACAGGACCAAAGAGATCGCTGGTAGGCAGTGGACTGCATCTGTACCAGCCCGAGGAGAAATGCAGCTCCAGTAACCCGTGCTGTCTCCTGGATTGCGGGGAGTAATCGGAGAACTATGTACGTCAAGCTGCAGCTGACTCCAGTGCAAGCATTCTGTGCCAGCATGTGTCCTCTCTTGTACCTGCCTGCGATGCAGTGGTTTGCGTGGCCTTGAAAGGTGCTGCTGCTGTCATTACGGTCGAAAACAGGGCTGATACTGGTTCCCTTCCTGTAAGCAAGGCTCAAAAACATGCTAAAATACAGTTCCTGTGTGGTGGCAAGGTCCTTTTCCATGACTGCTGTGCCCCTCAGTTCACTGCTCTGTTTGCAGCCCCTGAGCCCTGGCTGCTGCCAGATGGTCTTGAGAAGAGCCGTGTAAAGTCCCAGACTTGTTCCCCTTAGCAAGGGAGGGGAGCCCTGTCCCGAGCAGCAGGGCTCGGGGCCGTGCGGCATGCTTGAGAGGCACCCTGCAGGATCCCTCCCCTTCCGAGCGCAGGGAAGGTAAAACTGCAGCACAGCAAAAATGGGTTATCTCCCACACAGGTTTCTTGGATCCTGATCTGAGGCTGGTGTGGGACCTGCAGGGAAAAAGGGCAATTATTCCCTGGCTGGAAGTGAAAATGAAAACATAAGTTCCTAAATCAACGTGATCGCAAGAGTGGTAAATTGATCCAGTGCCGTAGTGATTTCAGCCCCTGCCTGTGCCTCAAACTGTCTCCACCAGAAGGGTGTGAAGTGGACCCCGTTCTCTGGAAAGCCATTCTCGGCTGTCGGTGACGTATTGCTGCCGCCTCGCGTGGGGCTGGGCACAGTGGGGCCAGCCTTGCAGAAGCTGGTGGCCATGCAGGAGCAACCGCCTCACACCGCGGTGGGGCGGCCTCAGCGCCCCGGCCCCCTGCTTGCTGCCTCTGAAGGGCTGCTCGCTGCTCTCCTCGCTAGGGAAGGTCCATCGTGCAGTCAGGAGTACTGAACGGTTTCCTGACAGTAACCATTTCTGTCTGTGACAGCTCTTGTCCAAGGATCCTGACTGCTGGAGTGGGGTTGGGATGGCTGGATGGGGACAGATGGGTCCTGTTAGCCATCCTGCAGCCTCTGCTCTTCCTGGTGCAGCCGCCTCAGGTGCTGCCTGTCACTTGCATTTGCTGCCAGGGGTTCGGCGAGCGCTGCCTGTTCTTGCAAGGGAGCTTCCTCTCATCTCGGCCAGTCTGCCGCAGCTGGAGCCAGGCTGGAGCTGCCAGGTTCCTTCCCTCAGGGTTGGGAGGGACTTGGAGGCAGCAGAGAATGGTGACAGGGAGAACAGGCATATGGAGGTGCTGGGGAGCCGGTGGGTCTTGGGCTCTCCTGGAGCACCAGCCTAGACCAGCCCTTCAGGGGAGCGGTGCTGGTCCCGAGGCACCGGGGTGCGGAAGGAACAGGGCTGGCTGAACCTGCCCCTGCGGCATCGCTGCGCTCCCAGATGAGACGGGACGGGGTGTCCTGGGAGATGCTGGGAGAAGCAAAGGCCCTTGGGCAGACCGAGGCTGGGACTCTTCATGGTGTCACCCTGCAGCGGAGAAACCCATCAGTAGCTTGAGGAGTGAGTCAGGCACCAGCTCCCCAGCTGGCTTCCTTGGTGTGTCTGGGGTGGGGAGGAAACAGGCTGAACTGGTTGGGACCTGTGATCTCTCGGAGTCCCACGCGAGCTCCAGGCCCTCTCCCCACATCACAAGTGATGCGTTTACACCCACAGTCGGCAAATGAATTAAGAGCCTGGTCTGCAGGTGAGGGACATACTCTAGATGCTGCAGCCGAACCCCGTGCACTGTCTCTGCACTCGGAGAGATGAACCCCAAACTTCCCTACGTTCTCCTGGTTGGGGCTGCGGTGATAATCTTCATTCTCTCCTGCATGCTGCTGAGCAGGGGGAGGCGATCACCCAGCTGTGAATCCCAGCCCCGCATCGTGGAGAAGATGGGATCCACAAGCCAGAGCCTGGTCTTTGCCGATCTGACACCCGAAGAGATGGTGCAAGTGGTGCGGTACCTGCAGGGAAACCTTGGGGTGCAGCTGGTCGATGCCTCGCGTGCAAAACCCTCCGACAACTGCATCGCCTCCGTCGACGTGCAGGTCCCCGCCAAGGCAGAGGTGCTGCGGTTCCTGGATGGTGGTGGGGCTCGCCCCCCCCGGGAGGCGCTGGCTGTGCTGTACTTTGGGAACCAGCCAGACCCCAACACGTCACCGAACGTGGTGGGTCCGCTGCCGACGCCAGCGTATCACCGGGACGTCACAGTGCAGAAGTACGGGGGGAAGGTGCCGTACCACCGCAGACCGATGCTGGGCAGTGAGTACAAGCAGGTGGGAGCATTCTTAGAGACGGTGGCATTTGCTGCAGCCCCAACCTTCCTGAAAGAAGTGTTTGAGTATGACGGCACCAACGTGGCATTTCAGACCACAGCCCCTCACGGGTTTCAGTCCGGGGACCGTAAGTCCTGGTTCATCGTGTTTCAGAACGTGAGTGGGTTCTTTGTGCACCCGGTGGGGCTGGAGGTGCTGGTGGACCACAGCAGCCTGGACATCTCCCGGTGGGCGGTGAACAGGGTCTTCTACAACGGGCAGTACTACAGGGACATGGTTCAGCTGGAGAGTGCCTACGTGCAGGGTCGCATCAGCGTGGAGAAGGTGAGGAAAGCGCCGCGGGATGGGGACTTCTCGTCCATGAAGCCCCGAGCGCCTTCGGCTGCGCTGTTCCCTTTGCAGTACGAGCCCCAGGGTCCCCGTTACAGCATCAGGAACAACCACGTCCTCTTCCAGGCCTGGAGCTTTGCCTTTGGGATGAGCGTGAACACCGGCCTGCGCCTGTTTGACATCCGACACAAGGGGGAGAGGGTTGCCTATGAAATCGGCATCCAAGAGGCGTTGTCAGTGTACGGCTCCAACTGCCCTGGAGGGATGTCAACGAGGTACATGGATGGGAGCTTTGGCATTGGGCGCTACACCTCCCCCTTGGTGCGAGGGGTCGACTGCCCATATTCGGCCACCTACGTCGACACACACTCTCTGTTTGAGACCCTAAGCCCCAGTAAGAGAAAGGCTTCCCTCTGCATTTTTGAGCAGAACCTGGGCTCCCCTCTGAGGCGCCACTACTCCAACTTGCAGTCGCTCTACTATGGGGGGCAGGTCAACTCTGCTCTGGTGGTTCGGTCCATTGCGCCCATATTTAGCGACGTATCTGGATGTGCACTACCTTGCTCATTCCCACGTCTCTAGAATTAGTAAAAATGCCCTCTGCATTTTTGAGCAGAACCTGGGCTCCCCTCTGAGGCGCCACTACTCCAACTTGCAGTCGCTCTACTATGGGGGGCAGGTCAACTCTGCTCTGGTGGTTCGGTCCATTGCGACCGTGGGCAACTACGACTACGTGTGGGACTTCATCTTCTACCAGAACGGGGCCATCGAAGGCAAGGTCCAGGCCACGGGGTACGCGAGCTCATCCTTTCTCCACGGGGATGGTCTGAGATACGGCAACAGGGTTTGGGAGCACACGCTGGGTACGATACACACCCATTCCATCAACTATAAAGTGGACTTGGATGTGGGAGGTAGGTCTGGGTCTTGTTTCTCCTTTGTGCCCTCCCTGAGTACTTTTAGACTCCCCCAAATTGACATTTTTTTGATCCTTCTACAGATTTTTCTTTCCGTATGTGGGGTAGGATGGTGTGCTGACACAGAGCTGCCTCCCTTCTGTTTTTAGAGCAGTGAAAAGCTGTTGTCCTACAGGGAGAGGTTCCCCCTCTGTCCCATGCAGTTACCCGTAAGTGTCGTGCAGAGCTGTGGCTTCCTGGGCTGGGTAACGCCAGCACCACCATGTGCCCAGCCCGTGCCCCTAATGGGAAGGGGTCCTTCCCCTCCTGCCTGGGCAGACAGACCCAGCCCCGACTCTGCCCCGTTGGCCTCGATGGCTCCGAGGCTCTGCAGAAGTCGGGATTTTTCCCTCCGCGCCCTGCCCCTGTCCTGAGCCCCAAATGATAGTCGGAGTTGATCAAGCTGGTTTGTTGGGACGTGGTTTCCAGCTCACATTCCTACTTCCTACAGCTTTGTTGAGCCGTTCCCGCTGCTCGTGTGCGAGTGGGACCGGCAGCTGCCCTCTCTGTAGGGCTGCGGGCACAGCAGGCAGATGCTGGGCTGGCGGCCAGCTCTGAGCTTAGGGCTGTGCTGTGTTTTGCCAGGGGTACAAGAGATCCTTCGCTCACAGCAGCAATGGGAGCGTCGGCTGCAGTTTTCTAGGTCTTCCCCTACCATTTATGCCACACATCTGTCCTCACACTCCTGCTAAAATTGCATTTGCTGTGTGCTCCTGACACTGCTGAAATTGCATTTGCTGTGTGCTCCTGACATCTATTAAAAATTTCCCAATTTCCTTTTAATTGGGAAACGCAAATTTAAAGACTGTTCCATGTGGTTTTAGGATGAGTTTTGAGTACTTAGGTAAAAATGGAGGATTGCAAAACTGCAAGAACAGTGAAAAGGCAGATGAAATCAGTGTCACTGCTATCACTGGAAGGGGAGGTGTGGGGTTAAAAGTTTTGTTCACATTAGAAAAGGGAAGAAAACAAGCACAGTGGTGGTTGCTGGGCGTGGATCCTCTTCTATGGGGCTCTGGCTCTGGTGCTGACCTCGATGGCAGCCCTGGGGCTCAGGCCCAAGGCACTGCTCAAACCTTCCAGGATGACCAGAGGTTCAGCTCTGAAATGGCCTTTATGCAGGCTGGAAATCCACATGGGGCCGAGGGGAGCGGAGCACGGGAGGGTGTTACACCATGCGCTCCAGCCGGGACAGGCAGCGGATGCCGAGCACCGGCCCCTCTGCCAGAGCCGTGCTGGCGCTGGCCCTCGAGCGCTCTCAGCCAGCTCTTTGCTGTCTTGTCCCCAGATTTATTTGCTCTTGTGCCCCTCCTGTTGCTCTGAGCCTCTGGCTCATGACTCTTCTTTGTGGAAAGACCTGAACTGCACAGCACTGCTCCAGTTTTGTGATGTGCAAATGTCTCACAGCCTGGACTCTTCCTAGTGCTTTGCAGCTCGCAGGATGCATGCTGATGAGTACAAACACAGTGCCTGGGCCATCAGGCGCTTGAGTTAATTAGGCTGTGCTTGCACTGGGAACCTGTTCTTCTGCACTGGGTCGAGGGTCCCCTCTTGTCCCTCGCAGAGGGGGGAGTCTCCCCATGGATGGTGGTGTCTGCCACAGTGTGGTGTTGCCTGGTGAGACAAATGTACAGTCACACAGCCATAGATAAATGTACATGATGTATAGTCATGCTGCTGTGGAGCTGTGGAGCGGTAGCTGCTCTCACAGGTAGGAGCCGGTGCTTGGAACCTGGGGTGCAGGAAAGGAGGATGAAGAGAGCAAGCTTTGGCTGCAGTGATGTCCGTGGGGCACAGGGGACTGTGGGGACACTCCTCAGTGACTTTGCTTTTGCTTTGCAGGGGTGAAAAATTCCCTGGTGGCTCATGACATGGCATTTGAGATGGTGAGGGCTCCCTGGAGCCCAGAGCAGCAGATAGAGCGGCCACGACTCACCAAGAAAGTCCTAGACACGGAGGACCAGGCTGCCTTCCGGCTCCAGTCGAAGATGCCCAGATACATCTACTTCGCAGCCAACAGCAAAAACAAGTGGGGCCACCAGCGCGGTTACAGGATCCAGATCACCAGTTTTGCCGGGGACCATGTCCCCGAAGCCAGCTCCATGGAGAGGGCCATCAGCTGGGCAAGGTCAGGCTTCTCTGACTGGGACAGCAGGTTCTCAGAGATGCCCCCAGCCCCACTGGCTGGGGAGGCATCGCATGGATATTCCTTGATGGGGAGGCACAGGGCAGACGCTCTCCTATGGGGAGGAAGAACCCCTATGGGGTTACTCCGTAGGAGCAGGCTTGTGCTCTGCAGACTCTCTGGGGATCTGGCTTTTAGCTCTGCCCTGCCCCAGAGGGCTGCTTCCCATCTCTGTTCTTGTCCTCAGGTACCAGCTGGCCGTCACCAGGCGGAAGGAGGAGGAGCCCACCAGCACCAGCATCTACAACCAGAACGACCCCTGGACGCCCACCGTCGCCTTCGCCAACTTCATCAACAACGAGACCATCACCAATGAGGTGGGTGGGGGTACCCTGGGCTGGAGAGCTGCCCCAGGGGCCAAGCGACCCCAGCATTGCCCGCAGGACAGCAGGCTCAGCTGGGAGAGCAGCAGCCCCAGGGAATGAGGAAAGCAAGTTTGAGCATCCCCTTTTCTGTGTATCTGCTTGGTGCTTTGGTCAGACTGCGTAGATCAGAGTGCAGAGCAGGAGCTCATTTCTCCCTATGGAGAAATGCTGGCAAAATGTCAGGAAAATCTCTGCGAGGCTGGGACTTGGCCACAGGGGTCAGGGCAAGGGCCCTTCTGCTGGGTGGACGTCTGTGACCGTGGCTGCGGGCAGGTCTTTGGAGAAGGGAGGGGATCTTTCCCAGGAGGGGGGAGCTCAGCATGTGGGAACGCAGCTGAGCTGGTGCCTGTGGAGGTCCCCTCTTGCTCTCCTGTAACTTTCCATGGCCCCTGCGCAGATTTTGGTTGCTCCCGCACCAGGCTTCTGAAATAACTGTGGTCTTGTGGCTCCTCCCTGCCTAGGACCTTGTTGCCTGGATAACCGCTGGTTTCCTTCACATCCCTCACTCTGAGGATATTCCCAACACTGTGACGGTGGGAAACTCGGTCGGCTTTCTCCTGAGACCCTACAACTACTATGACCTGGACCCCTCCATATACTCGCACGATGGCGTGTTTTTCACCAGCGAGCAGGACTTCACGGCATGTGAAATCAACCCTGTTGCATGCCTGCCCAAAACTGCCTCTTGTTTGCCAAACTTCCCCCCGTTCACCTATGATGGTTTCCAAAATATGAGCAGGCTTTGACGCTACAGGATGGTGTTAGGAGACACAGTCAGAGACACCAGGTTGACTGTTCTGTCTCAGATTTTCAGTTTTTTAGTGAAGTTGTCTCAATTTCCAGTTGTGCAACGGCTTCACTTTTTATCATTGCTTTTAAAATAGTGCTCTTTAAAAGGGAAGCATAATCTTCCTGGCATGATGCCAGACAGGAGTCTACGTTATCTCTGTTAATTGCTGACTTTGAGTCTGTTGCAGGAGGAAAGTCGGGAGAAAATCCTGTTCCTCTGCTGTAGAAGCAAGCATTGTGTAGTGCCTATCTCAGGTTAAAAAAATGAAAATGATTCTGGTGCAGTGCTCTCTCGAGTGTCTCGTTCTTACGACTTAAAGCAGCGTCTGCTGGGAGGATGATGCTGGGTCTTCGCTGCGTTCCCTGCATCCACAAACCGGCCCAGCAGCAAGGCTCTGGGTGCCCGTCCGGGCGTGGGGATGGTCCAGCCAGAGGGCAGGAAGGACGGGCTGGGGAGTCCCCGGGCTCTGGGGGGAGGACCGAGGCGGGCGCTGGCACTGAGCTCTGTGCGTGCTGGGGGCGAGGCTGGGGGCAGAGCCAGGACCCGCTCGGGCTGCAGCTCTCAGGCACTCGCTGCCGGGTGCAGGTGAGGGGAATGGAGGGGACTATTGCAGGGAGGTGTCTCGCTGTCCCTGCGCCAGCACTGTCACCACGGGTGCCTCTGTGCCAACTAGCTGAACCTCAGCCCCGCGGGCAGCACGTGGGCCAGCTCAGCCCACCGCAGCCCAATGCTGGCCAGGTTCACATGAGAGCCCTCCTCCAGGCTCGAAGCAGGGCGCAGAAGCTGCACGGCTGCTGACGGTGCAGCACGGCCAGCACCACTGCCCATTTGCCAGGATGCTCGGTGGGCCCTGGAGCCCTCGTCCCCCTCCTTGCAGCCCTGTCTATGCCAGGGTGTAGCCCAGGATCAGAAGCCACCTCTGGGGGGGTGACAAGCAGCTGTCCTCTCTCTCCCTCCCAGCTGCAGCACCGGTGCCTCCCCACGCGTGGGGTTGGAGGCAGCAGCGTGTGATGCTGCCATGTCTCTGCACAGGCTGTAGAGGCATTGCTGGTGACGGCAGGGCCATGGCAGGATGGGGCCACAGTGCTGTGCTCAGCAGTGCTCTGCACAGAGGAGCGTCATCCTTGCTGTCTCTGCTGCCTGCCTGGCTTTTTGCATCTGCAGGGTTAAGAGAAGGAGGTGCAGGGAGATGCATTTATTTCCCCCAAGTGACTGGATTTGTCCTCTCCAAGGTCTGCAGCGTAGCATGTAGGACAAGAGGGGAAGGACAGATGCAGAAGCATTAAGTTAAAATTATGACCCGCTGGGGGAAGCAGAGCAAAGTTGCCTTTTACGGTTCCCAGCAAATCCCAGGCACATCTGAGAACATCTCCCTGCGAGCTCCCCCGGGCTGTTCCCCGTTGAGAAAACAAGGGAAAAACAAACCCAACCAAACCCAGCCCCTTCTGTTGGAGAGTCACTGGGAGGATTCTGCAGCTGGAAACACACCCTGCCGGACTGCAGGAACGCTCAGTGCCTCAGCAGACATGCACATGAAAACTGTGCTCATCCTCCTTGTTTTAGCTTTAGCCACGATATTTGCTTTAGTCTGTGTGTTGCTGACCAGAGGAAGGGCCCCCAGCACCTGCCAGCACCAGCCCCGGGAGCAGGAGGACGCCGATGACGGCCAGAGCCTGGTCTTTGCCGATCTGACACCCGAAGAGATGGTGCAAGTGGTGCGGTACCTGCAGGGAAACCTTGGGGTGCAGCTGGTCGATGCCTCGCGTGCAAAACCCTCCGACAACTGCATCGCCTCCGTCGACGTGCAGGTCCCCGCCAAGGCAGAGGTGCTGCGGTTCCTGGATGGTGGTGGGGCTCGCCCCCCCCGGGAGGCGCTGGCTGTGCTGTACTTTGGGAACCAGCCAGACCCCAACGTCACCGAGTACGTGGTGGGTCCGCTGCCGACGCCAGCGTATCACCGGGACGTCACAGTGCAGAAGTACGGGGGGAAGGTGCCGTACCACCGCAGACCAACACTGGCTGTTGAATACAAACAGATGGCAGGGTTTTTAAAAAGCCAAGTGTTCCCTTCCTCGATGCGTGCTGTGAGTCCGACGGGACTGACCTGGCTATCCTCACGACGGCCCCGCGGGGCTTCAAGTCTGGCGATCGCGCGACCTGGTTTGTCCTCTTCCACAGCATGGCTGGCACCGGCTACTACCTCTCACCGGTGGGGCTGGAGGTGCTGGTGGAGCATGGGGATCTCCATGTCTCCTGCTGGCGGCTGCACCAAGTCTTCTACAACGGCCGGTACTTTGCCAGCATGGGGGATGTGGAGGATGCATTTGTGGCCAACTTGCTGGAGGTTGTCAGGATCAAGAAGCCCCAGGCCAAAGCAGTGCTGGGCTCGATGAGACCCAGGCACCCACCCGGTTCCCCGGGACCGCTGCAGTACGAGCCCCAGGGTCCCCGCTACAGCATCAGGGACAACCGCGTCACGTTCCAGGGCTGGAGCATCACCTTTGGCATGAACCCCAACTCCGGCCCACGCCTCTTTGACATCAGGTACCGTGGGGAGAGGATTGTCTACGAGCTGAGTCTCCAGGAAGCCTTAGCCCTGTACAGCTCCAACTGCCCTGGGGGCATGTCAACCCGCTACCTTGATGGGAGTTTCGGCATCGGCAGGTTTGCCTACGAGCTTGTCCGGGGCCTCGACTGCCCCTACACGGCGACCTACGTGGACCGGCACTATCTGGCAGAGTCAGAGACCCCCAAAACCAACCAAAACTCACTCTGCATTTTTGAGCATGACGCTGCCCTCCCTCTGCGGCGCCACTTCTCCGACTCACAGTCCTTGTACTATGGTGGGCTGCGGAAAAACACGCTAGTCATCCGTGCCATTTCCACTCTCATCAACTACGACTACATCTGGGACTTCATGTTCCACAGCAGCGGGGCCGTGGAGGTCCAGGTGCACGCCACTGGCTACATCAGCTCCTCCTTCCTCCATGGCCGAGGCACCGACTATGGCAACAGGGTTGGGCCCCACACACTGGGGACTATGCACCTCCACCACATCCACTACAAGGTGGACCTGGATGTCGACGGTAGGTCTTGGGCACCTTTGTGCATGGCTGCGGTTCCCTGTGGGCTGCAGCTCTGCGCAGGGCATGGAGCTTGAGAGGGTTTTCCCTTCTACTTCACAGGGCAGCTGAACTCTCTGGAGACCCAAGACATGGCATACGAGCTCGTGAAAGATCCCTGGAGCATGCAGAACACCATCGAGCGGCCATACCTCTGCAGGAAGAGGCTGGAGAGGGAGGACGAGGCGGCGTTCCCGCTCAATGCCCCCATGCCCCGCTACATCTCCTTTGCTAGCCCCAAGCCGAACAAGTGGGGACATCCACGCAGCTACCGCATCCAGATCACCAGCTTTGCCGGGGAGCACCTGCCCACCAGCAGCCCCATGGAGAGATCCATCAGCTGGGGCAGGTGGGTGCCAGGGCTGGGGCGCGCATGGTCCCCAACCCCTCTCCTCCCACCCTGCCACCGTGTCCCCGGCTGCTCCTGCCTCCCAGTGGAGGGGGGCCCTGCCACTCAGCAAGCTTGTGCCAGGCTGCAGGGAAGGGTTAAACAGCGAACATGCATATTTTTTGGCTCTGAAAATCCCTTGAAAAGTTGCTCAATGACATCTCTTCATAGTAGTTCACAGGCAGGAATCTGACCCCAGATAAGATTAATTTAGAGTAATCACATGTGTTTTTCCCTGTGAGAGCAACCAGGCTGTAGGATGAACTCCCAAGGGGAGCACTGGTATCCCCAGTGTAAAGCCTTGATATCTTTATGTAAGGACAGAATGTCTTTTGGAAAATGCTTGGGATGAACACAGAACTGGCTCACTGCCAGCGTGAAATTTAAGGGCTCACATTCTGGGGGAGGTTGTAAAAGTTAAAAGTGGCTGTGGCTGAAGTGAGTGTGTCGGGCAGCGAGCAGCAGCATCTGCGCCTAGACGTGTTTGTGTTTCCCGGCCGTGCTGGAGCAGCTGTGGGCAGTGAGCAATCCCCCGCGAGCCCAAAGGTGCTGGGGCTGCTGCCTGTCGCTAGTCTGTGCCAGCCCTTTCCCTCCCTGACCCAGGACAGACTGTGTCCCCGGGCACGTGCCAAGGATGCATCCAGCCACAGTTTGCCGGTGCATCCCCAGGCGGCGATGTAGCAGTCGCCCTGCCCTGCGCCGGCACTGACGAGCCGCTCTGCTCCCTGTGCTGGCAGGTACCAGCTGGCTGTCACACGACGGAAGGAGGAGGAGCCCACCAGCACCAGCATCTACAACCAGAACGACCCCTGGACACCCACCATTGTCTTTGCCGACTTCATCAACAACGAGACCATCACCAATGAGGTGAGCTGGGGTCCCCTGGGTGGAGGGGAGCCGAGCACCGTGGGTGCCACCCCGGCTCCTGCCCTGGCCAGAGGCTTGACCCATCCTGCAGCCAAACTGGGCGGCTGCCAGGCTGGAAGGGTCCCGCTCAGCCTGACAGGGTGCCCGGCTCCCCTCCTGCCCAGGACCTGGTCGCCTGGATCTCTGTGGGGTTCCTGCATGTCCCCCACGCCGAAGACATCCCCAACACAGTGACCGTGGGGAACGGCATTGGCTTTTTCCTGAGGCCCTACAACTACTTCGATGAGGACCCCTCAGTGGACTCGCCCGACAGCGTCTACTTCAGCAGCGAGCAGGACGTCAGAGCATGTGGAGCCAACCCCCTCGCCTGCCTGCCCCCTGCCATCACCTGTGCCCCCCACTTGCCACCCTTCCACTATGGGGGCTTCCTCAACCTCAGCCTGGCCCCGCTGCCCGGCGGGCTCTGACAGGGCTGGGGCTGCCGCTGCCCCTGTCCTCACCGGTGCGGGTGGTCCGTGTCCGGCTGTCAGGTGCGGCCTTGGAGGCAGCCCCGGGGTCAGGCTGGCTCTGCCACTCCACCAGGACCTGCCCTCCCCATCCCTGGGATGTCGTGTGCTCAGGGTCAGGTTTTCAGAGGAGCTCAGCTCTCATTTCGGCACCGCAGTGCTGCCAAAGGCGGACACAAAGCCTCTGAAAAACAGTCCCTAGGAGCGATTTTTGGAGACTCCATCCAGGAGACCACCCAAAGGGCTGTGGGGTGCCCATGGCTGCTCTACTCTTCTGGGACCGAAGCTCCTGCCCCCTCCCCAAGGTAGGTCGGTGCACGCAGGGCGATGGTGCCGACCAGAGCTGGGCACTGCACAAAGCCGCAGCTCCCCTTGGAGCCATGGTCCATGCCGAGGTTTTGCCCAGGGTGGTGGGAGCAGGTGGCATGGCAGCCGCTGTGGCCTGGCCGCAGCCCAGGGGTGTTGGGCCACAGGATGCTCTGGGATGCCCAAAACGCCCACCCCGGCCCCACGGCCACTGCAGCTCCAGGGCTGCTGGGGCCCAGGTGACATTGAGCTCTGGCTGCTGCGGCAGTGCCAAGCTCTGGGGACAGGGACAGGGACGGCGCGCTGGGCTGCATCGGGAGCCCACAGGAGGAGCACACTGCAGGACTGCGGGATGGGCACTCCCCGGGCCGAGCTGCCTCGTGTCCACCCTTCCCCAATAAACAGGCACTCGGATGCTTCTTCTGACCAAACTGTTGCGTAGCTCATGGGTGCTGCTGTGGCTCCTGTGGCTGGTGGCCGGAGCCCCAGCACTGCTGACACTGTGGGCACTGGTGCCCTGTAACGGACAGTCCTGGCTGCGCTCTGCAGTGCTTGCGGAGCTCCGAGGGCCGTGGGGCCCGTACAGCACCCGGCACAGCTGTGTGAGCGTGCACTGGCTGTGCTTTTGGACCCCGGGTGCTGGCAGGAGGCTCCTGCCGGGGAATATGGGACAAACAAGGGAGTTAATCTGTAACGTCTGTACCGAGCCGCATTAATGGGTTCTGGCCTTGGCTGCTGCCCGGCGCGCTCAGCCCCTGCCAGCACAGGGACCCTTGCTCCTGCACCACCAGCTGCGTGCACAGCCCCAGGCTGTGGGATCCCGCAGCCTCTGGAGCCCATCCCCACTGTGCCAGGCTGAGGGGCTTGGTGAGGGTGGTTCAGCTCCAGCCCCACAGCCCGGCCTTGGCACGTGGCTGTAGATGCCAACGTGTCCCTGGGGGCATGGTGGGCATACGTCCCCTCTGACCCCTTGCCATGGGAGCTGGCTCTGCCCAGGGCCATACTGCGATGGGCTCGAAAAGCCCTAACAGCAGCGGCACGTCCCCCCAGGAGCCAGCTCGGCTTGCTGCAGCGCAGGGAAGGGACATTGGGCAGGAGTGGGCAGCTCGGGGGCATGGCTCAGTGCGAGGCTGCAGTGGTCCCTGGATGCCCTGGGGTGACAGGGGGTGACAGGCACCTCCTGGGGCTTGGGGGGAGCAGGCGGGATGCTCCCTAAGAGGGGAAGGCGCAGCTGGCCAGCTCCCTGCCTGCTGCTGTTTGCCCACGTGTTTGCGAGCGCTGCCTGGACTCTGCCCGTGTGCTGACGCAGGTGAGACCAGACGCACTCCCGTGCTGGCAGAAACGCGGCTCACTGCCCAGCCCCAGACCTTCCAGCAGGCTGGGAACTTTCTGGATGAAACCTTGGCACCACGTGCGGCACGTTATGTTACAGCACCCGCATGCCCTGTGTCTCCCGTAGCTGCATCCGGTGCCTTGGGAATCACGGGGACACCGTGTCCCGGACCCAGCCGCTGCCACTGCAGGCACACAGCTCCTGGGCTGCCAGCTGATCCCGGGCTCATTGCGCACAGACCTCGGTGCAGAAATAAAGCACCCCCAGCCTGGCCCTGTTCCTCCACTGGGAAAGCCACCCCAGCCAGTTTGCAATGCGCCTCCCTGGCCAGCAGTGCTGCCAGCACGGCTGCCCAGTGCAGGGGACGAGCTGGAGCTTGGCATGGTGCTCCCAGAGCTGGTGGCCAAACCGGCCAGGATGCAAAACCCCGAGGTGCCCAGGAGGTCAGCAGCCCCTGCCGCCCCGGCCTGCCCTGGCTCCGCGCGGCGGCTGCAGGGCTGGGGATTTACCCAAAGCACAGGGCACGGAGCCGGCACTGGGAAACCTCCACTGTGTGGACCCCGGCAGCTCCGGCACAGACCTGCCCGGCAGCATGCGCAGCCGTGCAGGGGGATGCTGGCCCGCGCCGCTCTGCCGGCAGCAGAGCTCAGCTCTATCTGCAGCACAGCTCTGTCAGCAGCGCTTCGTGCTCGCTCCCGCGCTGCGCCGGCACCCGCTGTGCTGGGAGGGAGGAGGTGGCTGTTCCTGTCCCGTTTCCCGGCCTACCCCCATTGCGGCCCCAGTTTTCCTGCGGTGACTTTTTCCACGGTTACTGGAGCACGCTAGTCCCCATCCCCCAACACCTTTTGCCCCCATTTTCTGCTGTGAAATCTCTCAGGGAGAATTTATTGCTGTCTGTTTCAAAATATTTTTGACGCAGAGGCCAAGTCTGTTGCATTCCTTCACACTGGCCAAAGCCACTCTTGGTTGAGGACCCTGGAATGAGCTATTGGGGGAATTTGTTTTGCAAGAGTAATTCCATTTCTGTGCAAACTTCTGCTTTGTTGGGTGTTTTTTGTAGGTTGGGAGCTCAGTCCGGGGGCTGGGGTGCCTGGGTCCATTTCCCCTTGGCACAACGAGGCCGGGCTGGGAGGGACAGGAGGAGCAGCCCAGGGCAGGGATGCGCCTGCGG